GGACAATGATGAAAATTTGATTCTTTGAAGTCATAATGGTCATTGAAATGTGTGAAATTCTGGTATTGAAAAGAGAGCGGCTAGCAAGACTCTAAATCCTGGGTGGCTGCTGGAAGCTTACTGGGAGGTTTTTCTGCATTTTGACATCAACTTCCCATTGCTTGTTCCCTGCTTCCTTTATTTTAAAAAAAGGGGGAAAAGTTAAACAGTGGATATTTGATAGCAGCATTTCACACAATTTTTTCATGTGTGTATGAGAGTTTTCATAGTGGAGAGATGAAATTTGTGCGCACCTGATTCATATGAGCAAAAATTGTAACTTTCATAAATATTAATATGTAAAAAAAAATGTTTTGCTCTCCTCCCTTGCCTTATTAGTTTCTTTTTTTTTTCCCAAGACTGTCACCTTTGGAGTTTGCCATAATAGTGGGGTACTTTAACAGCCCCCTCAGAAATGAATTAGGTCACCTTCATGATGAATTCTACTTTCATTGACCTTAAGTCTGTGAACCAGTTTTTTCCTCTTTGGATTCTGTAGCTCATCAGTAGGAAATGATACAAGTGTTCAACAGCCTGGATTTTCAATCCTACAAATCTTTCTAAATAGCATAAATTAAAAAGAAACGTCTCTTTGATTTGAAAGACATTAAGAATTTTTGAGGGGGGCTAAAAATAGACATTACCAAAGTTTTATGATATGTTGCAACATGCTATCAAAATGATAAACCTTTTTTAAAGTTATTTTCTTAAAAAAAAAAAAAATAAAGAAAATATTGTATATTCATCATGCAGTACAAGTCAAAATTTGTTTTTTGTATGGTAGGATAAATAACATCAACTAAAATCTGATCCAGTTTTGCCAGCCTACTTAATTTTAAGCATTGAACAGTTCATCTCTTTAATCTCAAATTTCTCAGTTTTTTTTTCTACTTTTAATATTTGATACCTTTATCATTTAAAAAAAAAAACCCTAACACTAAGTATACTAATACAAAAGCAAAAATTTGTAAGAAGCACAATATTAAAAAGAATGAGAGCAAATTGAAAATAGCTGTCAAAAACATCTTTGTTTTGGAGAGTTTGTTCACAGGTAATTTCAATGAGAACTTGAACTCAGAACAAAGCACTGAAGACACAGAGAAAGTTCAACTTAGTGCAGCATAGTTCTTTTCAAGTATTATATTGTTTTAATGGAATCTTGGAGCGGGAGCTTTAGCCCATTGAAATGTCGCTTAAAGGACAGGTTCTTCTGTCACTAGCTGGAACTGTGTGGATGAAATGATCACAATAGAGTGTTGTAATGCATTTTAAAAGTGTGAGAAATCAGTTTGTCTAGACTAAGAGTGCGCCTACGGGGAATAGGAATTTTAGAGCTTCTGTGCTCTTTAGGTGTCAAGTATGTGATAGATGCCAAGCCTTTTTATTCCATATCTTTGGCAACAGCTCAGCTATGCTACAGTACCTTACATGTCTACTGCAAGCAAAAACAGTGATTCTATGTCAAGACGACTTGGGCTTCAAAATCCAGAAACTCATTGTCCTAACAACTGTCTGTTCAACTGCCAACTTTAAACTGGGGAAGATATCAATAAACAATTGCTAGATTCCCAGAAGGCATGGAAACTTTAGCTATAATGAATCAAAAGTATGGAGAGCTAGCAACATCATATAGCTATTTTAATGTCTTAAAACAGGCAGTTTTTATTTGCACTTTGAAAAGATCTTCATAGGATGAATCGCATGCTGCTAGAAAAGTTAATTTTATTATTTGAAGCCAATCAAGTGCCCCAAAACTGTGACTTTTTTTTTCTTTCAGATAAACTAGACTGGACATTTATTACAAAAAAATTATAAATACAGTAATCACTGTGTTCTTAGGGCAGCATAGTGCAATTTTAAAATCATATTCAACATACGCCAGTATTAAAATTATTACATTATATGCAATACTTTTGTGTTCTTTTTGGTGTGGAGTTTAGGGCTCTAGGGGGAGTTTACTACCATCAAAAGAGAGAATTTTAAAAGTGTCCTTAAGTTTATTGTAATCTCATTTAATAGAACACCTTTTTATCCTGAAGGATCCAAAAGCACCTGAAAACTTGATAAGCCATAGATATGGTAGATACAAGAACTGTTTAACCATCATCAAAATCCAGACATCTCTCTGAATCACTGTAGATGAAAAAATTAGTTACAACCAATTTGTGAGTGTCAAAATAAATCACAGTTGCGAAAATGGCAATATTAATGAAATTAAAAATGCTTTTCATTGTACGATTTTTGTAACTATCTTTGCACATAGTAGGATCAATATTATTTCATCAACTACAGTGTTCAGTTTCTCTGTCGCTCACACATACTTGCCCCCATGTATATTTGTGTGTGTGTAAGGTAACATTAATATATATATATATATATATAATAATAAAGTATGGTTTACTACTTCGTTTCTATAAACAGACAAGCCATAACAGTAAAGCCGCACCTAATTTTTACTGCAGATGAAAAAGTATTTGGTTGATTAAGCACAAAATTTGTTGCCAACTCAAATAAAAACTTCAAAGTATTTCTTTTTTAAATTGTAGTTTCAGATTTTAGCAGAATTAGAAATGCCAGTCTGTTAAAGTATGTTTTGTGTACGTGTTGCAACATTTGAGTAATTGTTAGTGGTGTATTTTTAATATCATGGCTAGACTGGTATTCAAAATAAACATTACTTGGGCTTAAGGAAAACACTCATGATTAAGTTGTTAAAATATTTTGACAGTTTGCTTTAGGTATAGTCTGAGCTCAAATTTTACAAGTTGGAAACTTCCTGTGTTTTTCTTTCATTCTGTTTTAGTTATAAATGCAGGACAAACATTTCACTCTCACTCCCTGATTTAGTTCAGACAAACTGATCTTTCCAAGTTTATTTTGTGAAGTGAAACAAAAAATGAAATTCCTCATTTCTAGGGAGGATCTGGTGACAGCATCAAAAGCTTTTAAGTTTGCCACAGAACAGAATCCTATGAAGTTGGTAGCTGAAGACTTAAACCCAAAATGACTTGTTTGCCTCCTCAATTCAAGTCCTGTCACCACTGGCAAGATTAGTTCAATATGCCCGAAGTTCAGCTGCACATTTCTGGACCTTCACCAGATGAGCATTTGTTCCTGGAGAGAGACAAGGAGACAGAGTCCTAGAAGCTCCCATTGGCATTAAACTTAAAAGTATCTGAAGTCATGAATTGTTAGCTGGCTTCTTTCAGCAGCTTTGGATGAAGAATTTGATGATCCACTTTACTCTGTTCAGCAGGTGTCACGGTGCTAGGACGAATTGACATGCTAGTTATATTTAATTGCTGTTTAGTTTTTAAAGTGTGTTCATTTCAGTTATATCCAGAAAAATTACTCTCACCAGTGTCTCTCTCATGAATAGATTGATTCTTTGATGATTATTTTTTTGTCTATTTTATTTTTGTTACCTATTAAAACTTTTGTGTGTCTTCATGGTCTTTATCTAGTGCTTTATTGTTGAGTACAGTTAAATCTGGTTACAAGACAATAGCTTAATTAGCTACAGCATTCTCCTACTAACCTTTTCCACTAAAACTTGTAAACAGTTTTGCTTTTTAAATTATAAAGTTCCTGCAGACTTCTTCCCCTTATAAACAAAAAATATAATCCCAAAACATCAATACAACAAACACTGCATGAGCCTTAATGAGAAATTTCCCAATCAAAAATGTCAAACAGAATATATCTTTAAGTAAAATGAGTCATAATATCAGAAACTCATCAAACTGAGCCTGCTGTTTGAGGAAAGATGAATTTACAGGGTATACCTTCATGGGGTTTTGGGGTTTTGTTTTTTT